TCCCACTGAACCACACGTCACGTCAGCGACACAACGACACGACGTGATGTGTCATGTGTTGACTTTCACCTAGCGTCTCACTCTGATTGGTCGCAGGTTTGTAGAAGACTTAAAACGGCGTGAGGCCATTAGACAACGTGTACTTTGAACCATGTTAACAACCAGTAACAACCATGTTAACAACAGACCGCCATGCTTTCCCGCACTTAGCCAAGCCTGTAATTTTACTGTCTTTATGTGCGCACACACACACACACGTTCACACACACACTCCTCCAGGCTACGTAGCTGTGAGGACACCCATACAGTACAGTCGTAAGCATCGTGCCTTAACCACCACGGAGTGATGGCTAAATTTACAACATTGAGTTTACAAAAATCAGATTTAAAAATTAAAAAAAGACACAAACACAAAGAGGACACCCCCCCTCCCCCCACAAAGAAAAACTACAAATTAACCAGCCATTAATACCAATTAGCTCAGTCAAAGCTAAAGTTAGCTTATATTAACTTAGCTGTAGTTAGCCACTGTGCTAGCATCAAAGTGGTATAAGTTAGCAGTAAACGGCACCACTGCCCTTCGGTTCACATTTTACCCCTGCCCCAGAAACATTCCAGTTTTCCAACCACCCTCACCTCTCTGCTGGATGCCAAGCTGAACTGCAGTCTGCACACTCCCCACCGGGCTGACTGCTTGACACTCGTACTGTCCTTCATCGTGGGCTGCTACTCTAGTGATGCGCAGCGTACCAGATGACAGGACAACGAGACGCCGGTCCAGAGGTAAAGGACTGCCCCCTCTGGTCCAGGCGATCACGGGTTGTGGGTAGCCTCTTGCCTCGCAGGGGAAGTCCACTGATTGGCCCTCCACCACCGACAGGTCCTGAGGAGTGACTGTGAACTCTGGGACGGCTGTGGTCGAAGGACAAACAAAGTAATGCTGATGATGTCACCACAAAAACAAAACTCTTTTTAATACCATGTTGTCACACAACAACAAGGTGACGTCATCTGCATACAAACAAACATATTCAGTGTTTAATGTTTAACATGCTTTATTTATGTCTAAAACGAGTTTTTTTTTTAAACTTTGAGGCTAGTTTCACTGCACTTTCTACAATTTAAGTATGAAGTGCGTCTAAAAACTACAATCCAAATTAAAAACTGTTTTGGGGACAGTGTGTGTTGGGTGGGGGGGAGGTAGGGTACACTGTAGGTTATCTCAGTGGATAGAGAAATCTGCATAGTTGGTTTATAGCAAACAAACAAAAAACAATTAAAATAAAAGAATTCTGATCTGAAATTTCATCCCACAAAAGTACGACTGTTACCTTGGACGATGATAAAGGCCGTTGCATGAATGGTGTCAACGTTGTTGGAGGCAAAACAGGTGTACTGCCCAGCATCGGACTGGACCACCTGCTGGATGTAGAGCCCCCCAGAGGCAGTGGTGCTGATGCGAGCGTCACTGGGCAGAGGTGTACGGTCACCCTTCGTCCAGGAGATCCGCGGCTGCGGCTGGCCGGTGGCGCTGCACTCCAGGGTCACGCTTTCTCCCACCAGCACCTCCGTGTTAAGAGGCTGGATGACAAAACTCGGTCGAGCTTGGTGAGAAGAGACAAGGAAGACGATGAGGAGGGGGCTGGGGTTGGGAGGGGGGCAAATATAGTAACATCTAAGCCAAGAGGCTTCTTCAGTTCAGAACTGAAGGTGAGGTCACTGAGGTGAAACGTCTTCAAGAAATCTACTCCATCCATGCAAGTATTTTTGGATTAGATGACCTGGACAGACTGAGAACCTGCACCAGGCGTCGGCTTTTTGATCCACAATGGGTTCTAAAATTTGACACACTAATAATAATAATAATAATAATAATAATAATAATAATAGAAATTCATAGTATGGAGATAGTATGGTGGACAAGTTTGGCGGGCCGGATTAAAGTGCCAAAGGGGCCACATCCGGCCCTTGGGCCATAGTTTGCCCTGGTCTGACCTACACAGACTTGTCACTAAAGGGTTTTTGCGATGGTTGAACGTCAAAGACGTCGCTGCTCGGACCACTTCCTCTGTGTGTTCCAGGTGTTGACAAGTTCCTGTCCTTATTTGTCCGGCGATCACAGATGATTCAGAGGAAACACGTGCACAGTTGGAGTTTACGATCACACACACAGGCAGGAAATGCAGAACATCTGCTCTCAGAAACTCCCCCCTAACGAGCACTTGTCACCGGGGTGATCTATTACCCCAGCCACGACCCCTGGGGTCATCTTAAGATAACTGTAGACTAATGCAGAGAAGACGTTTACGTCTGTACTTAAAAGAGAAAAAAAAAGCCTGAGTTAGCTTAGCTCCCTGAGCTAACGCCTCAGTTATTTGACCTTTTGAACTGTGAAGACTCTCAGACACCCAACACCAACTGTCTCAGACAGTTATAGAAATGCTCCATCTTCTCTAATGCGTATATTTGCTCTCAACGCTCATTACTCCATACATATATAAACATATATACAGCCGGACCTCGACATACGATTATCCTGAGATATGAACAAGCCTTCGAGCACATTTTCCAAAATATTTTGAGATACAAACTCAGTCCTGGAACGGATTATGTTAGAACTGGAGCTTCGACCCGTGACTTTATTTGACTTCCTGGGTTAACAGCAGAGGTCACATTTGGTTGTGTGCAGTGGTGCAGTGGTGCAGTGGTGTGCTGTGCTGTGTCACAATGACAATGATTTCTTCCAGACTGTACGTCTGACAGAAGGTCATGTGATAAACAACATGAAGGACTGACTCGTATTCATGGTGATAATGACTGTCGCGCCTGTCATCCTTTGAGCTTGTTTTGGCGCTGGTCTGACCTTCACGTGGTCATCACCACTGCGTCTACGTGTCCTGTTTAGCTGAACACGTAGTACCGCATGAACCGTACACGCGCCTGCACCAGATGAAGAGCACTTACAGGGGGCTCCAAAGTACCGCAGCGTGACCTCCGAAGTCTTCACCTCACCAGCCACATTCTTAGCCATGCACTGGTACACTCCCTGGTCTGTCTCCCTGGTGTTCTGGATCATGAGAGTTCCATCTTCCAGGAGGTTGAGGCGACTGTCATCGCGCATGTTTAGTGCATTGCTGCCAGGAGACGATGGTAAAAGAAGACTTTACAAAAGTGGACACAACATCAGCTCGAAGCTCTAATACAACCATAAAGGATTTGTGAGGATAAACACTCGGTCTGTTGTAACGTATTTTTTGGAGAGTTGACTGCACTCGGCAGGTTAGATGATGGAACATCTTACTTGTTCCTGAGCCAGATGATCTGTGGTTTGGGGTTTCCCTCGGCCCTGCAGGTGAAGTAGACAGTGTTTCCAGATGTGACATCAACATCCTGGGGCTCCGAGGTGATCCTGGGAACCTCTGGAGGACAAGATCCCAATAATTATCCACAGGCGTCCACTGACACCGTGTACGTGTTTTTGTTTCTTCATCCAGAACCACTGAATAAGCTGTTCAGAATATCCCAGTGGACCTTCACTAGCTCATCAAGATAATCATCTGATAATCTGTGGTTCCCTGACTCCACCAGATGGTGGTGATAAAGTCTTCACAGCGAGACAAGGGTTTGTTTGAATGGATGTCTGTTAAATTACTTGATTTATAACATTAGTTAAAAAACAAACATAATCATTGTTACTAATGTTATTGGCCGATATTGTCATAATTATGTAACATCTGTAAGAATTGTTATCCGGTTTTTTTCCCTCCGATAATGGGTTTCAACAAATGATGTGCGTTCTAAAAAATAGTTTTGGGGAAAAACGGCTGTACATGAAAGTGAAAGTCACTAGATGGCAGCATTTCAAAACCGAGACTCCCAGAATTGTTGCCATGTTTCTCAAACATGGAATATTGAATTCTTGCTAAACCG